GGCATGTTACTACAAGCGCAGTATTGCTTTTGTTCGTCCGTCATCGTGTTCGTCATACCACAGCTCTGACCAGCATCTGTGCGTCCAGGCTGACACCTCATCACACACCGACTGGCTGCGGCTTAGCCGTGACACCTCGATTCGCGAAATGCGGGCAAGCGGAATGCGTCTAGGGGAAGATGGCATTCTGTTTACCGATCGTCTGAAGAGAGGACAGTCCTACAAGATTACATCACGTGCGTGTGTCGTTTTCATTCTCACGGCTTCGCAATAGTCTTTCAACAGGCCTCCCCTCGCACAATGGTTTGAGGCAACTTTTCGAATCGCCTGTCGCATCGCTAACGGAATGCGTTTGACCCCATGGATAGTCTGCCTTCTCAGTCAAGCCGCACGAGTTCCCGACACAGAATCTTACAGGTAGGCTTGGAAGTATTGTATCGTTATTCCACATCTCTCTCGATCTCAAAATCAGATCATTTTGTGTCGATTCCAAGAGGATACCTTCTGGCACCTCGAGAACCATCCTCGATACGGCTTGTTAGATTGCATCGCCATCCGCAAAGACGGTATGACCCGCAACGGCGAGGCTTGCCGACTATATCGACGACCCAGCGATTGCTCGCTTCGCAATCTTCCATCTCCTTCGCATCACGAGTAGAATGATTACGGCTGTTTCTCACCAGGGCCAGTATCGCGCACGAAACCGTGATCTTACTACAACCTCTGTGTCACGAACGGCAACTCGCCGGTAAGACCGTGTTCGCAGATTCATATCGACGCAATGGTCGGAGATCATGAATACGTTGCCTGGATCCATCCAAGATGACGAACGCGCGGTCTCACTCAATTGTCCTTTGGAAATGTCCACACCGCCTGTTGTCAATTTCGGGAAATCGTTCAGCTGCGCGAGGAAGCTCTCACCACCAACGGGTATTCTCGTATCGTGGAGCAGCCTGGAGCGCAGTCGTAGTCTTTGTAACGGCCAACATGTCAACAGTGCGAGTTTGAGGACGTACTTTCAGGTCTTTATCCGGTCAATACCGCGGTGCAGTGTGTACAATTCACTTGTATATCGGCGCTGTGTATGCCATACGTCTTCGAGCGATGACTCACCCACCCGCGATCGCTTCTCGCCGCCTTTCCATGACTATCGCAGACGATTACATTAGCCATCAAACGCATTCTGTAAGCAGAGTAAGTTTGTTTCGCGGTGAACACAAATACCTAACTTGACCTTCCGCGAGACGCGATTGTGTAAGCATATGTTAAGCACTCACTTGAAGCAATTGCAAAGTCCGGTAATTAAGAGAAATGTGCTGCAGTCACGGCTAATTAAGGGCCCTTCTTGGCTAACCCGGAGCCCGACGCATCTCCGCAACAGCTGAAGTCGGTCAACTTGAGGTCAGATCTCTCGGCTCTGGTCACCGATGGACATGTCAGGACGAATGGGAATAGCATATGGCTTCTGCGATTTGCATGTGCCGACTGCTTTCCTTAAAGTGCACCAGATTCACGGGCGGGCTCTGTAGTATATGTGGCTGTATGACGGCATCCTCACCGCTGTCCAAATCCCTCGAGACCCGTAGCAACCCGATATCTGAGATCAGATGGCCACCATCGTGGAAGGTCGCATTGAATGGCGTGCCTTGCATCCGCCTTTGGTAATCTTCTGGAAGGAAGGAACAATCCACAAAGTGGCATCCCTGCCAAAGGTCATCCACTAACTCATCAAGCGAACGCAACCCTATCGCTGACAAACTCTCCGAACACCACGCCCACGCGCTTCATTGGACATCACCACCTCGTAGCTATCCTTTCATGCGACGGCGATGACTTCATGCATACAGATCGGGTCGCAGATTTGTGCATAGCAGGGTGCGGGCGCGCGGCCTGGAGTGCCAGCTTGGCGGGAGCTGAGTAACATCCTTCCGTAGTGACTACACCTCGTGTTACCAGCTAATATTAGCGACCGTTAGTGCCTCTGACTCGTCGGCGCATTCGACACGAATATTGCAGGTATTGATTCTATTGGACTAACCACCTACTTTCCAATGGAGTTTTGAAATGCGCCAAAATGATCATCACAGATCGAAACAGTCCATCGGCCATACCGAGCGTAGTAGTCGCTGACCGGGGTCCAGCCAAATGCGCAACGGCAAAGTCGCGTGAGCGCCTCAAGTCACGAATACGACCCGCGTTAAACCTTCGGCCGGCTCTTTACCGTACCTGACTATTTGCAATGCTTACCAGAGTGAAGACATGGTGGTTCCTTGGAGAGCCACCCGATACGAGAAGACACCAGAAGGAAACTTGATTGTGTATATCTTCGGCGAAGTGAAGGATAATACGCTAACAAGCTATACCGCAATACAGATCTATCACGCATTGTGTTAAAGACTTCCTCTTACGCATACTAATAAGTGCATCGGTCTTACCACACATAACCTTCCTCTACACACACGGGCCAGTTGTTGTGCTTGCGGCTCAAATAAGCATCTGACGACAGCAGCCCTACAGTATTCCCGCTGCACAGTCGCTACCGGTGTCTACACAACTTCTCAAGAAGGGCATAACCCGGGCGCCACACGTCTAAAAAGGGTCTCTCCGTGCACGCACGATACCCACTCATCGGTCCCGTCGCAGTGTCACTACGTTCTCCAACTGGTCGGATACAATCTTATGACACAATACCGAGCTTTCAGTACCGACACTACGGACGCTTGGATAGCCTACTTAGAGCAACTACACGCTTGACTCCGAAGCGTGTAGGAACAAGCCACATTCTGGTTATGCACCACGGGATCGGCTCGAAACCTTCGATAATTCCTCTGTTTAGACACCAGTCTTGCTATTTTGGACCTTCGGTGATCGTAGAGCCGGGCCTTCATAAGCTCAGAACCAAGGGCCAGAGAAGAGGGATTGGAGATATAAGATCTGGAAACCTTCAACTTGAAGGCTCATTACCAACAACAACACTCCAATCAACAGTACCACCAACACTCTTTCGCCTCTCTCACCAGATTCGTGACAATACTTGGTCAGCAACGACGTCACAAGAACACCTCTTCAATTGTCAGAGTTAAGCATAAGCACGACTATCTTCTCTTCCAATATATGAGCAATCGCCCATCCGACACACACAGTCCATCAAATTCTCCAAAGTCTATCGGTACCTGCACTACCACAGAAGCAACTCAAACAACTATCTCTTCTACGTCAAACCAAGACTCGACGGAAACTCCTCAATCCACGACTGAACAATCCTTATCAACACCTACGATCATCATTACAGGATCACCTACCTCACGCACGCCAACTCCGGACTCTACTGCTCGACAAAGTCGCCCCTTAGCCTCACGCTATCACTCAGGATATACCTCGAATCCACATCTACCAAGACCCGAAGCATCTTCTAGCCTTCACGAACGTCCACGACGATCTCAGTCAGAGCCACTCGAAACCAGAACTACCACAGCCACTACCACCATGTCTTCCTCCGGATCCTCCCCATCAGGTACCTCAACTGCCGGTAGTAACTCCGGATCTGGTCAGCTCCCGTACGCTCCATTCCCGTATCCGATGCCTGCCAACCCCAGAGGAGGCTCAGGCCAAGGCAAATAGATGTCTTCGCCCTGGCTACACTACTGTATCGCATGAACGGCGTCTCTTGGCTTTAGCGATCTGACGGACACGAATTCCCTTTTGCACATCAATGGCTCGCTGCTTGTGAGCCACTCTCCTTCCAATGTCTCAAGATCTCTAGTCTCGCCCGGTATTGCATGGCATGAACACATCGCACTTTTGGCGTCGAGAATACCCTCTTCAACTTCAGATTCTCTATCTCGGCCCTTGTATGGCACGCTCTACACTCTTTTTTTTTTTTCTCTGAAAGTTGTATCTCTATCTGTTGTTTTCCAAATTCCTTTCTTTCCACTCATTTTGTGCATCTCACAGTCGCTTGGCTTTGCATTCCTCCAGCTGGGTCACGACCTTTCTCATTCAGACCAGCTCGCATGGGTGGCGTTCGGGGTTTTCCGCACTGTAGCTGTCACTTCGCGATCCGATCGACTTCACACATCCTTTGTTTTCGGGCCGTTGGCGTTTGTACTAGCGCGTTGGCTATCGATTGTATGGGCGCGGCTCGATACGAGAGATTCCCAGGGCAGGTACTTCGGCCACTTTCGTAAACCCCATTCTGAATCCTCACGATATCTATTCTTGCATCCTCTGGAGTTACGGTGTGTGGAGATAGATCTGTAGACTAGACACTAGATAGCTGCTAGCTCGAAAAATGTACAAGATACTTCCAAGCTATTTCTCGTGACGTTCTATTTTTAGGTCTGCCCAGGTATTGCAGCCCGTATCCAAAAGGCGGCTCCGTCGAGTTCAAAGATACGATACTGACAGCCACCCGTGCTGTACATACGACCTGGCTATCGAAAATGACAGTCGAGAGCTAAGCGATGTGGATTGCATGAAGAGCCAATACCGCGCTGCAGAAGGTACCTCCATTGCCGAATGTGAGGCGGTCATAAGTCCGGCGTCTCATCCCCGAGCTGAAGGAGTATAGATGCCCGGCAGCGCGCATTCGCATGATCGCCTTGGCGCACAAGCTCTGATGATGATGTCGTCTTCACTGAAAGGTGCTGGGGGGCTGGGAAGGTGATGGTTGATCATGGACGATCTGGTGGGCGGAGATTGATGCGCCGGTCTGACTAAGCAGCGGCCGTTTGAGTCGTGCAGCGTCATTCGCGCCAACTTTCCTCTCCGAGTCGGTTCACGCGACATCGCGACATTGCTGCCCTGATCAAGTGATCTCTTTCACGTGTTATCCATCCACCGAACGCCTCGTGCCTTCCCGCTCGACGTCGCGACAGTCGCAGAACAGCCCACGGCTGCCTCCCTGATCCTCATCATCTCCGCAACGCCGTATCCGTCCCCGAAGCTCCGCCGTCGTCCTTCCATCGACCACGACACTCGCATCACCTATCAGCGCCACCATGGCACCATCGCGGTCCCGAGCGCCACTGCTCTCAATCCTCGCCCTCACGTCCCTTATTCCCTACACAGCCTATGCCTTTGACTGCAAAGACATCCTCGCAGATGGCCAGCACTTCAACTTCAAAGAGCTTGGCGGCCCGCATGTCGTTCATTACAAGGAGTCTGATATCGCCAAAGAGCTCGAATGGAAGTACAACTTTACCATCGACATCTGCAACAACCTCAAATGGCACAAAGGCGGCAGTCTGGCAACCGAGTGCCATCACGGGACTAGGGTGTGTGGAATCAGAGAGAATATCGATTTGAGCAGTGACGACAACTCCACCATCACTCCTATCGATATCGCCGGAACATATGCGACGCAGAATGGGAGGAAGATCGACGCCAAGTTCGAGAACCTAGGCCACTCCAAGAGCAACAATGATGCAGGATTAGAGGGTGTCAGGGCAACGCTCAACGGAGGCAGATTTCCCTTCGACGACAGGAAGGATGGCATAAACCAGCGTGCGATCATCGAATTCGTCTGCGATAAAGAGAGGACAGGATTGGAGGGTGACGAGATGGACAAGAGCCCGCACCAGGATGACGATAAGGAAGATGACGGAGGCGACAAAGGGGATGACAAGAAGGAGGGCGATGACAAGAAAGAAGAAAAGCTGAGGAGGAGAGAAGGAAACGGCAAGAGCAAGTGTGAGGACAACGACAACAGTCTGCGCTTCTGTGGCTACGAGATGGAGACGGAAGAGAAGGACAAGAAAGTCCAGACACTGCGACTGCAATGGCGGACCAAGTACGCATGTGCGGATGCGCCGTCGCCGGACGGTGGCTCCCACTGGGGCTTCTTTGGCTGGTTCTTCATCATGTGAGTTGCATGACCTCATCTCTACATTTTCAGTGTACTAACAAGTATCTAGTCTATTCCTCGCGATCGCTGCCTATCTCATCTTCGGCTCATGGCTCAACTATAACAGGTACGGAGCGCGCGGATGGGACCTTCTGCCTCATGGAGACACGATCCGCGACATCCCGTACATTGCGAAAGATTTCGCGAGGAAGGTCATGGGGACTGTACAGGGAGGCGGAAGCAGAGGAGGCTATGCTGCTGTGTAGAGCAACACGTCAACATCCTGGTATGGAATTTAGTGATGCAGTGATGCAGGAGATGCTTTGTAGGATACGCCTGGTGAGGAGGAAGAGCATACAAGGCGCTGGAGTTATGGATTTGGCTTATGGTCAGCACTTGCGACACTTACCTAGATTTGGAGACATGCGAAACGAGGAGTGGTACAAATCTTGGATGCCTGTTGAGTCGACATGTGCTTCGTCGAGTATTGCTATATTGAGCTTCCCATCATCATCCTGCGTTCGAGAACACTGTTAGATTGCTTTGACCTTTGTTGTATATTCACATACACAATGTCACATGCATTGAAGTTACAGGAAGTTATATATTGCTATCACTTTTGGAGAATCAGGTGAAACAATCCCTCACTTTCTCCAGTGCCAGCCGTGCGAATGCCTGACCTCAATACCATGTTTGCAAGAAGTCAGTCCACGTCCAAGCCGCATCGCCGAAAGAAATCCGTAAAGTTCAGCCCGGACACCAACTTTGAGCCTGGCCGGCCTACACATCAGTGGAAGCGCAAAAGCCCAACGTATTCGGCTGGGAAGTACAGTTGCCCACCAGATGTCGGAGCCTGGTTGGACACCAGCTTAATGAGCAACGAATTGGAACAGCTTCTGAACTTCAAAGTCCACGCCATCTTCCACGTCCGCAACGCAGAAGAAATCGACGTCCTACACAATTCCTTCCACGCGCAGATGCGAGCAGGTCTGCCGCTGCTTCCTGGATCCCAAACGCTTCTAAGAGACCATCCGCTTGGTTTTGACGTTTTCAATATCTACAAGGACCTGACTGAAGGTGGCGTCGCTTTTTCTAGCCTTACGGGAGATGACTGGACGAGGGCGAAGGTGTTGATCCTTTATCAAGATCAGAGTGACAAGTCTGTGACTTTCCAGTTTGTTAATGATGCGAAGGAAGATCAAGAAGCGCATGAGTGGATACTTGAGTTGCAGCGGACTGTGCCTGCGAATAATGTTGGCTTGCCGAAGATGGCTAGGTTGATGAAGTGGAGGGATGATTGTTTTGCTGAGATGTGCGGTTTAGATGAGGATGCGCAGTAAGAATTTGATCTGTGAGGGAAACACAATGTTACAGTGAAAATAGTAGAGTTTTGGGTGCGAGGTCAGTCGTCTGCTTACCAGATCTAGCAATGCTGCAATGAAGTCCCAGCGCCGCAGTCGTTCCAATGTAGGGCTCTTTATGTCGACTCAGTTGCGTTGGCTGTATACAGATGGCAAAAGTCACAGTGAACGACAGCGCTCACCCGCAGCTGACAGCGCGGCCAACTCAAAAACAACTCTTTGTTCCTTAATAACTTTCATGTACAACCACTCCAGAACCACACACATTGTTCGTCAACACATATCCAGTTGCAACAGGGACTAGCAATGATGGCTGGAACGCCAGCAGTAAATGCCATGTTGGCAAGCTTACTCCAAGACAAACTTCAAGTAACGCAGTCCGCCTCCCCTACTCAGTACGATTATACCAGCCATAGTCAGATCGAAGCGCGACTGTCTGCCGCGGAGTGCCACCCACCACTCTGTTCTAACAACTCTCCCGAGAAAGCTAGCAACTTCGACGACATTGGTCGTCGCATTGGGTCTAGATGTGGACATCTGCTTCACCCCAATACAGACGCCGACGAATACTGCCCAGTGTGCAGAGTCGTAGCTTATCTGAATCTACTTCGGCGCATTACTAAAGATTGGGATGGTAAAGGGGGCCCTTGGAGGCCACTGACAGGTCAAAGTACTGACGATCGCGACGCTTACTGCCATATCTGGCATAAAAGAAGACTTGAGCTTGCACAGCTCGTGATGCGCTACGGAGACGACGCAGAAAACGAAGAGCGTTGGGAACAAGACCACCCGGAAGAAGTTGAAGCGGCTCGGAAGACATGCTCAGCAGGCAATGCCGCGGTCATTGCGTGTGCCATGTCGAGGTATCCCGCGAAAGTAAGGACTGGCAACATCGCAGTACCAGACCGCTGCACCAGCACTCCAACAATCTTGCCTGGAGCGACTCCAAACCGTCACATCTCTGTGTCGAAAACCAAAGCTCCAAAGACAAGGCGTGTTCAATTCGCGTCGGACACGAACTTCAAAACCGCTCGGCCACGTGAAACTTACCTGCGTAGCGCGAAGGGATACGTACCAGGGAAACACGCAGCACCCTCGTCGAGCACCCTACTCAATACTTCGAACATGCTCATCAAACGCTACAACGTTCGGCAGCTCAAGATCATTAAGAAACTTGATTGCCCATGGAATATCGAGCTCGTCGACGCCATCGCTCTGTCCAACCATGAGGGTATTGCAGAACTGCATCCTCGGTGGCGCGAGATCGGGGATAAGATATCGCGTATACACGATGGAAAAGATGAGGTGCCGAACAAGACGTTTATGGAAAGTCTGCGCACTGCGGATTACTTGCTCGTGAAGACTGATGACAAAGATCAGGTCACCCATGTTATCCCGTACACGACAAGGGATATTGAGAATCTTCCTGGAGATGATGCGGAAGAGGCTTGTAGGGTGGAGAATAAGGGGTGGACATCACATTTAGAGATCATGTCGGAGGAGTGTCGTGATCAGATTTGGAGTACCTACGAAGGCGCAGGAGGCGCGACTAGGACATCAAAAAGTGGGCGTAAGTAGTAAGATGGAGAGGGTATTGCGACCTCAGGCCGCAGAGACTGAACGCCAGGACTGTGTGCATAAGATACCTGGGCCTTGGTAGACGTTGTTGAGCGAGTTGTAATGCGAACATAGTGGATGGTTACGATGTGATGCACATTGATCTGACCAACGACCGGTTGGGTATGACACAGACGTAGCGCCTTCGACTGATGCTGATACATTCATCCTACAATGCATTGTTAGTGCCCTGACTCTTGAATGATTCATCGCAATGACCCAAACACCCGTGACTGCACACTGTGCAAACACCCTGTTCTCAGTAGATCCTTCACTTGCGATTCGCTATTGCGCGTTCACTTCCAGGGCAGTCCACCGAAACAAACTCGAGAACAAGCACGGGCTTTCTGGCAATGTCTTGCGATCCTCTAATACTTATTCATTCACGTCAACGCAACCTTCCACATCATGCCCTCTTCCATAGCCGAGTACGTTCCCGCAGCCATTCTCTTCTCGCTCGAAGACGTGCAGCACTTCACCAAGTGGCAAGAAGAGCACGGCGTGGGCTCGCTGCCTGGTATTGTTCGGAATGCCACAGAGTACTGCGAGTTTCTTGCACATCGCCGCAGTGACGAAGAAAGCATCAAGCTCAAGCGCGGCGACACACGGACGCAGAATAAAAACCCTGCGACCATGTGCGGCCATGGGTTGCACCCTTCAGACATCATCACCGGCGGGTATTGCCCGGTCTGCGAAGTAGAGATGTGTCTCCAGTTCCTCGATGCGCTTGGCAAGGTATTCCAGAGATGTGGCGGCCCTTGGCAGGAAGCGCGCGTTCGCAATGAGTACGCTCTAGTCAGACAGTGTTGGCACCTGGCGCGCTATCAATTAGTCGAGCTTGTAGACATTCTGGAATGCTCGCAAAAGTACGAAGAAGTGTGGGAGAAACAACACCCAAGCGACGTAGGGTGTATGTGGACGACCAATAGCTCCTCGAAAGCGATACGTAATGCCCAGATGCGAACGAGATACCCAGCTGTACTGACAGAAGCCATTCCGAGGCCTGAAGTGAAACGAAAGCTTTCATCGTTTGACGTAGCGAGGGCAAAGGTCGCGAAGGCTCGAGTGAAGAAGCACGTCACTTTCACACCGGACACTATTACCTGGCCCACCCGCAGCAACGCCTGCTTTAATCGCACCCCGGCGCAGCGCCAGAGTTACCAACCTGGTAGGCATGCAGCTCCACTTAGATTGGCGTGGATTGACACATCGCGAATGTCCTCTTCTATAGCAGACCTTCTGAACCTGAAGGTATATGTGACCTGTGTCCAGGCTGAATTTGACGCCTTGGTCGACGACTCGTCTCTCAGACCACCTAGCCGCCATCATGGTATACTAAGCCTTCACCCCGGTATAGGACCAATTTCAGCTTTTGCCAATCAGTTCTTGCAAGGGGCAGAAACGGCGCGAGAGGAGATGCTCGAGATGATTAGCGTCGCCGACGCCCTCATAGTGCTCATTGGCGAAGACGATGTGGTGTTGGACCTGCATCTCTCTGTTTCGGACGATGTGGAGGATGAGGATGGTTTCGGCGATGAAGAGGTGGATCAGACAAGGTGGACTTGCTGGTCTGAGTGCGGCGATGAGGCAAAGCCTGACGTTGGTGGAGCAGCTGGTCTAGCTGCCAAATTCGCTGTTGACGACGAGAAGGCGCGAAAGTGTCGGAAGAAAGCTGGAGATGAGTAGCATAACTGCGACGTACGCTACGTTTATAGATTGTTGAATAGAAACGTGCTGGATTGTCTAGACACGAAACTCGTACAGCGAGTGGCAATGGTACCTACCTAGGTAGGTAGAGATGAAGTTGCGCCACGTGCCGCAAGACGCGTCAGTTTCGCGCGCGGGGCGATGCAGGCTGCTCTGCCCCACCGCGTTTCCATCTTCTTTGTTCACCTTGTCTATGGTACTGCTCAATGAAACTCCCATACTTAGATGGAATCCGCAACCCCGCGCGTGAACTGAGATGTCCAGTCAAGCCGCGAGGGCTCCAGGCAGGCGTCAGGCCTCCGGTGCCGTGATGCGCGCTGGACGGCGGGCCGGCTACGCATGCCACGGCGTCGTTCCACCACTCCCCAAGGAGCGAGGCATCCCGTCGCAGCCTTGCGCTAGGCTTGTACAGCTCTAGCAATCCGCCCAGATACTCTGCTCGTCGCAATATAAAGTATGGCATGCGACGTGTCCGTTGAGAGCCATCCCATCTCGACACCAGCATGGCTCTCATTACCCTGCCGCCGGAGCTCAAGCTAAACATAGCTGACAGCTTGGACCCGGACTCGACTCTCAATTTCGCCCTTACCTGCAAAGACCATGCGACACTACTCAAATCACTGTTGGGACAGCATGCACGACTACTTGCGGAATGGAAGGTCATCGACACGACCGGTGCTCGTACGCTTCTTTGGGAAACCTTGAGAGACGTAATAGCAAACCCTCGACTAGGGTGGTACATCAGGGAACTCAATCTTCCAGAAAGCCGGCAATACAATTGGAACGCGAACGAGAGTTTGCACGTTTCCCACCCAAAGCATGGCGTCGTGCCATCCGAAGAAGACAAGGCCTTGTTCATTGAGGCAGCAAGGGGGCTGCAGGATCTATATCCGGGGTTCGGCGTAGATGAATTGAACATGCAGAGACGATACTCTCATACCATCAACTTTTCACCTCGCCCGTACGACACGATTGGATCTATCGAAGATCGAATTCACGCTGGCTTCGAGGACGCCATAATCGCAATCCTTCTGCACTATCTACCTTATCTCACGACCATCAGACATTCAGAGGTCGACAGGGAAGACTGTCTGGAACTTGTTCTATGGCAGATCGCATTAGGATACAAGAACCCGGTCATGGCACCAAAGCTTCCCTTACAACATCTCAGGACGGTCGCCGTGCGTTACGCTCTGGACGAAGGAAGCAGCTCTCCTGATTGGGTGTGTTTTTATGCCAGTATCCCTTCGGTAAAGACGTTTGTAGGGCAAGCAATGGGTGGTTCGCCTAGCGAGGACGTCCTACGCACTTTATTCCCCACAAGTGCTGCTCCATGCTCTAACGTGGAAGAGCTATTCTTCAGACATAGTGTCTTCGATGTGGATGGCTTGGCAACCATACTCGCGAACATTCGGCATCTGAAGAAGCTAACGTATAACGGTGGTGATGCTCTGGTGTCCGATTCGAGCTGGTACGAACCAAAAAAAGTCATCCGAGCAGTTGCTACACACGCCGGCCGCTCGTTGGAGGAGCTTGTTCTCAGCGAGGAGGACACGGATGTAAGTGACTAACCTCCGTCATGGTCCAGACTAATTTCATTTGACAGAGTGAACCTCCCGAGGATGGCCCGGCGATTGTGTCTCTCCGAAGTTTCCAGAAGCTCCGCGTACTCCACTGTGAGTGGCGCATGCTTCGCCCCGACATGGCAAAAGAGGAAGACCCTGAACGCGATGAGCCGCTAGAACAAGGCTTTTACCGAAAGGAAGATTACGAACAGATTGATGTCGACTTCGACGTAAGAAGCCTTCTCCCAGAGTCCTTAGAAGAGCTTTTTATGAACGGCGATTTCGACGACTATGATGAATGGGAGCACATGGAAGATACAGTCAAGGCCTCAAGCGCCTTCACGCCACGCCTGACTATGGATAAGACCTGTATTAAGAGAGGAGGTTATTGGAGTGATCAAATCGGTACCGCAGAGGAACCGGATGGAGCCTGGTCTCATCCGCTCGGCCGCCTTTTCGAAGGTCATCATGGTTAAACTCGACAAACTATATGTCTCATCTCATTCTTGCTTGTAACAGGGACACTAAATTTCGGGTCAGTGCGCGCTTGCTAGGCACACGAGAATTGCTATAGCTGTGCGCACGGCTTCTCATCGTTCATCCTAGCGGGTCCTCTTCTCCCAATGACGCACTGGAAGAATTGACCATATGCCAAGAACCATGACGAGAAATTAGGGGACCGCTGGAGCCTGGACACCCCTTTCGTATGTGTATATAAACGCGCGCTCTCCGCAGCTTTACAAAAGATCTTATAATACACCTCTACCGAGCACACTTCTACAGCGCGCGCTTCTCCTGATACCTGTACTGTCAGTTATCGAGCGAACTTTTCGCGCCAGATCCCAACATCCAATCTCCCCGAAGCCGATATCACGATGGCTCCCCGAACGGTCTATACATTCGGAGGCCGCTACAAAAGCATCGCTGCTGTCGAAGATGCGCCATTCGCGGAGTTCATCTCTGTGAGAGAAACTGGCCTCAAATTCAACGTCGTCCACCCAGTCCCGGTCGCGTATCTGCGTGACCTAGACTCACGTGAACGCGATGCGGTCCACAAGCACATCACTTCTCAGCTATTCAGCAACAGCTACAAAGACGTCGGATTTATTGAAGCTGCAGAAAAGACCTTGGGTCTGTTGGAGACAGTCCAACAGGATATGGACCATGATCGCTCGACCACTGCGGACCTAACAACCACGGATGCGACCAGCAACCGGACATACCACACGGCAAAAGAGTACAAAGAGAGCCGCAGCTCCCATGGCTCGACGGATCAATTGGACGGTGATACTCATACTACGCGTGGCGTACAACCGAAATCCTCTAAGCGGTCTCGCGATATAGATGCTTGGAAGAAGGATGTCCCGCGTGGCCACGCTCCGCCAGCGGTCAGCCAACCAAGCTCATGTCTGCAATCCAAGAGTGGAAGCGGATCGCGGTCATCAAGCTCCAGCAGGATGCGGAAGCCTCGTAGGCGTATCGACTTCCGAAAGGACGCAAAGCTTGACGAGAAGACGCGCATCATAGTCGTAGAGCACACCGCTGCGAGTCAAGAGTTGGAACTTCAAGAAAAGCACCTTGCTAGCCTCGAGTTGCTGGCTTTGACTGTCACCAGCTCAGCTGCGCGACGCGATCTCAAAGGTGCTATCCGAAAGGCTCGTACAGCAGTCGAGAAGGTGCGCGTCCTCGAACGCAAGTGCAAGGGTGCTCTATCTGACTCCCGGGCACTTGTAGTAGATGCTCTCGACCTTGCTGATGATCTTTGGGAGAGATCAGAAGCGGAGGCGGATGAAGGATCAACGGTATCTTCGCCAACAACAGTATTTTCGTCGACACAACGGAGTACATCCACTGCCCTATCGGAGCCCGAATCCTTGGTACCGGCCCGGTTCGCCTCTCCCTCGGAAGTTGTGTTCCTGAAGCACGAACTGCAGAAGATCGACGACGATCTTTCGGAGTCGATGAGGACTTTGAACGGGGTCATCACTCGTTCACTTAACCGAGAGGGCGTCATCAAAAGCATAGATCGCGCACGGGCATGCCTTGACAAACTTCACATCATGCCGGATCGCTTTTCGGGCTTGGATGACGAGAAAATACGTAAATTTGGGGCTGCCACACTTGCAATCGCGCGGACAAGGCATCAGGAAGCCATGCGCGTTCTGGATGCAGCCAAGCAAGAGGAACTTCGATTGGATGGCCCTACCCAAGCGAAAGGTAGTGGAGGAACACGAGACACTGAACGCCAGCAGCCACCGCGAATGGAAGAAGAGCTCAATCAAATCTTTCAACGTATCTCTCAACTTGAGTTTGCCGACGCCAAAGAGCTGTTGCGGCAGCAAAAAGACGCTCTTGATCAAATTGTTCCGCAAGGGGTTGCGGAGGCGCACGATGGACGCCGCCAAATAGGTCATAGCTTGTATGACCAATTTCTGCAGGCAGGTGCACCGGAGGCTTACGGGGAGCCAACGTCAGCCACAACGGGGTTTCCGCCATCTTGGTTCCTGGATTGGGATGAGTACACGTATGCACGAGAGTTTTGGAGTAGTTCGTCCTGGGAGTATTGGGAATAGCCATCTTCATACAGCATACACTTTTCGAGCATTCATGATAGGTAGAAGAGAAAAACACATTCGCCATGTATCAGCCTTTCTCGACTGCACTGTGAACCAAACTAGCGAAATGATAAAACCCCTCATGATACATCACTTATAGTTCTGCATGTAGGGACCTCAGACGTCGTAGAAAGGTTTAGATGCTTCCGATATCCTTACGCACTTGTGAAGTGGCTATGGTTGACTGACAGATTCCGCGTTTAATTTGCCGAAGGCGACAAAACTCGGTTTTTGTACAAACCTCGGGACCGATGGGTCGCGACCACGGTGAAGGTGGCTGCAACGGGTTGCTTGAGGTACTGGACAGCTCACACACGTTTGATCTTTTCACTGACCGTATTTTATGTTCTATTACTGTCTTTATCTGCAGCCACTAAGGAGAGGTGAAAGCTCTCAGTTGTGAAGTTACTCGATCTGCTGATGGCGATGCGACCGCGTTCGGCCATAGCTATATAAGAGCGCCCCCTCCACAGCTATCGACGGTCTGTCTACTCCTACTTCAACTCTGGTATAAATTATAGCTTTAAACAATATCTACACTCTGCGAATGAGTTACGCCGGTGTTATCAGCTCACCGTCAACCTATCCAAAACCCATCTTCTACACCAGTCCCAAGAGCGGATTCTCTTCTCATGCTACTTGCAGATCTACAAGCCTAACCTTTCCGATAACGATAAGATGGATTCTGGTAATCGCACACTTCACACCGTTTACGGGCAATATCGTACTGCAGCGGCTGTCAGCAGAGCAGCTAATGCCGATTACATCCCGTTGAACGGCGATCGTAACATCAATGCAGTACACCCAATTCCAATTGACTGGCTGGATGAAGAGCTATTGCCGAGCGAGCGCGACCAAGTCCGGGAACATATTGCGTCTCTACTGAGTAGTCAGCGTCGCCAAGTTCCCAGGTTCGTCGAGGCTCTACAAGGCACCATGGAGAATCTGAACACCATCAGAAATAGGGGTACAGCTAGTCGCAGCATTCCTGCGCGTCGATCTGGAGGCGAGACAATCGATCGTCTGGCGGATGACTTCGACACTTTGACCATGGGACAAATGCATGGTACCACCTCACCATCGCATAACGTGCGGTTTGCAGAGACGGTTCGGACAGATCGTGTCTCACGGGACCCCGCGATCCCCGGTCCCTATAGTCCACAGCCATCTTCGCCGACTCCTCGAAGTATCATGCGCTCGCCCGGACATTCTCGTGCGAACTCAGCCGAAGCGATCTTGAGCCATGGAGCGCTGCCTCTACAGGATGCTCGAGTGCCCTCGCCCACCGACGGCTACAGTGCAGAGCTTGCTGCACTGGATGTACAACTCGACGAGATATACGCGGCTCTCAACAGCCAGCGCCGCATCGAGGACCATGGGTTATCGGAGCAACGTTTCGATAGCCTTGCGCAAGCTCGCTCCATGATTCGTCGCCTTAGAGGACTACGCCGTCTCAATCAAGTGGACATTGACACGGCTCGCGCAGCTGTACAATCAGTGATGACAAGCACTGGACGAAATGACACGCAGCGCGCTGCTGCCACGAACGCTGACAGTAGACCGGAACGCATGGGCCGCGGGCTGCCTCATCGTAATCATGAGATGCGGAGGCCGCGTCCAGTAAGTGGGAGCTTTAGCAGCATAGGAGAGCGGCTACGCCTAGCGACTGTACAGCATGACCAGCGTCTGTTTGCTCATACCAACGGCATGTTTCCAGTTTGGAGTTCACCTCCCGTTGACCCTCAATATGGGGACGGCATTCAACGGCCTGACGGTACCATATACTGCTGGGGGCCTATGGGCGGATGGTTGATGCACCATGGCCGTGATGGGGCCTATTTTTGCGAGTAAGCGTGTGATGATGCCTGGTCTTAGGACAGGGGCTTTGTATCCGGGTAACAGTCAGAGCGCAAAGGTCGGGGTAGAGAGTGCGCATCCATAGAAGGACCAAGATACCTAGGTAGAGACAGAATCGGAACTTCAAATCATTCGAGTGTGCTACATCAATGTACTTGGTTGTTATCAGGGCGCACACGTGCGACGAACGAGAGCGACGGGTTGATCCCGTTGCTCGAGGTCACCTGGGCCGTGTTCAAACATTCGATTGGCGCTAGCTGCACCGAGGTCCTTTCGGCAGTGGGCTAGCCTGAACCACTGCGCGCTTGCCACCTGGGCATCACCACACAACATACACAATGCGCATCATTGCACTCTCCTAATCTCAATGACCAGAGCGCAGTCTGCGTCAAAGGCGCACTCTCTTCATTCTTACTTTCCTTATTACATGACATCTGGTACCTCGTTCGCTTTGTCATTGGCAGCTCCTCGTTCTCGAAATTCCGCTTCAATAACACTCTCAGCAACCCCAGGGTAATTGTAAATGGCTAAGACCTTCAGACCAGCCTTTTCAATTATCGCTCTCCACTCCGCTTCCGTCCTCTCGCGCACCGAAAGATGTGCTAACATCATCATATCCATGGAGGTGGCGGCGATGGTGGGCTTTTCTTCTGAAAGCACAATCTCGTTCAGCAGCACCCGCGAGTAGCCGGGCTTTAGCGCTGGCTTCAGGCTTTCGAGAATCCTGACGCCGTCTTCGTCATTCCAGTCGTGGAGAATCGAGTGCAATGAGTACGCCCTGGCTGACTGGATGGGCTGAGGCTTAAAGAAGTCATGGACCTGGCTTTCAAAAGGAAGTCCTTCCTTATCCTTGATAGCCGCGATGACTGGCTCTTGATCCTGAAGAACAACCTTGCCCGGATGAGAATGGTGCTGAGTCAAAAACTGCTGGACGTCGTGGCCACGACCGCCGCCGACATCGACCAGAAGGGCCTCGCTGCAGCTGGGATCAAAGCCATCAATCAACCGTTCCGCGACCGGGTAGAAGCCGGGGTCGAACCAATTCGCCTTACCCGCGCGATACACCGACATGAAGTTGTCGAACTCATCGAGATGAGGAGGCGTTGCGACCAACCATGGGAAAAAAGGTAAATTTGTTCCATGCGCATTCTGCAATGGTCCTTCATTAGGCGACGTGGGTAGCCTGTACCCACTCTTTTTGAAGTACCCCGGGAAACCATTGAACGACGGTCGTGACACGTCGTAGCAGAAGTCAATGCTCTTCTGATAGTTGTCCGCTGCAAGTTCGTGGCTCAGACGGGTACCCAGGAATCTACCGTTCGAGAAGGAAACGATCTTCATTGCGATTAGGTGACGCATGATCCGTTGCAAAAGAATGGGGTCAACGCTCGTCTTCTGAGCAAGGTCGCCCGGACTAACTCCGGCATCGCCTGCATCTCTAAGATGCTGGAAGAGTTTGACTTCCACAGCGAACTTGCAGTGCGCTGACAATGCCGGCTGCAGACTCATAAGTATGCTGGTAACAGTGCAGGTTCAGTCACGAACCTCAGCCCAGAAGCTTCTCTGCAAGAATTCACTGGGTATCTCGAGCGCCGCAACCAGGTCTCGACCAAGCTCGATGAGACTTTCTCGCGAGCCGATTTGCTCGGCTTCGTAAGCTCTGCCAGCGGCCGCAACACGTTCGAGGATATTTGGTACGAGTATTGACATGTCTGGCGACGAGTGTTCGTTCTGCAATGTTTGTGAAAGGACAGAGAAGGAAGCGCGGGGCAGCCTTCTATTACAATTCTTCGATCCTTTCACACGGTAGCCATCGTTCGGTGCGGCTCTTGCCTTCCTATTGCGCCATGCGCCGAAGTACACATGACTCGTTTTCCCGCCCGATCGCTCAGCGCTTAGTCGTCTCCGCGATGTTTGGATCTTAGATCAGCTGCGTTGTGACATAAAGGCCTGATATCCGCAGTCTCTTTGACGTCTTTCGCTCGTCCAACCCAGCGGACCTCGTGAGTATCCAACGACGCGAATCCTACACCCGATGTGCTGGATCAAAACCTTTGGAACATCGCCTACCAAACGCTTGTCGCCTGCGTGCTTGTTACATTTGCCGGCATGACGTTTCCGGAGACAGACATCCGTCCGTGCCGCCCCGTCTTTCGTTGACCCACTTGGTCTGGCACTAGATCCTTCGCGGATGCATGAACAGACACTTCGAGCCGCACCTGTTGAAGCACCAAGAGCCACATTGCCGTAAGTAGTCACAAGGTCTAACTAAGTTAAGTTCTAAGATTAGATGTATTTCTCCTTGAAAGAAATAAATACTGTGGAAAGAAAAGCTATCTAGCTTAAAATATAGAGTATAGACGTAGAAAGACTACCTTTTCTGCTTGTGTTCGTCGTATATCTCCTACCAAGAGGTTGTATTGCGGCTCTCCTTTCAGCGTGTCAGTTCCAGTGTGGCTTTTTAGAAGATCGTCCTCCCCATCAGCTTCCCATAACGAGTAATTCAATCTTCCGACGTTTGAGATCGGTGTCTGAGAGCCTACCTCAAGCAGTACATTGACGATCGTGCCATCGTACGAAGGACCGACGTGATCATAGACACGCCTCGCAAATTTCCATGGATTTGCGAGCTTCCCAACACTGATTCGAAGCGATATCCTGCCTTCCTTGTCCTTTGAAGAGGGAGACATACCATGTTTCAAGGATAGTTTCACTGCAGATATGCCGGTGTTTTCGCAAGCCACATGTAGAACGAAAATCTCGGCATCATCCACGGAGCTTTTGTTAGCGACAAGTTGATATCCTCTTTGAGAAGCTCCAGCACGCTGAAAAGTCGCAGACGACCACCCCAGAGAGGTTTTCAACTACTGTTCATACGCTGTTGATACTTACTGCACCAAGCTTGAAAAATACTAAACCCTTACGGATGCTACGCCAGCATACTGATGCGCAGTTGCCTTGCATCCTGCGGCCTACTTTACCTAAGTCGAGCTCGAATGGAGTCTTGAAAAGAAACGGATCGCGGAGGCAAAGCGCGTAGGTCAGGATGTGTATGCAACCTACGAAGTAGATGTAGCTGTATCAACACAGAAGGAGGACAA